GGCTGCGGTGGCCGTGAATGTGCCATGCACTCCAGCCTGGCAACAGAGTGAGACTCCAACTCAAAAAAAAGAAAGCAAAGGCATCTGTGTTCACTGCATAACCTGGTCTTGAATAGACAGGCCAAGAGCTTGCCTAGGGTCACACAGCAACAAGCCAGCAGCCATAGAGAGAACAGAACCTGCGAACAAGACTTCTGCCCCCACCATATCTCTTCCTCAAATGCTTCTCAATTTTCACATGCCCTTCCCCTCCAGGAAGCCCTCCAGGCTGTTCCAGCTCACTCAGATCCACAGCTTCTCAGTTCCCATCAGCTCTGCCAGGAAGTTAGGGCCTCCCTTAACTGGCTACCTGGAGTCTCCTCTGCTGGTCAGCAGAGGAGCTCTCAGGGTGTGTTCATCCTCCTCCCCTCCTGTCTCCCTGCAGCATGGATGGTGCAGGCTGCAGGTGCATGAGGCTGGATGAGGACCAGGCTGGGCAGGACCAAGGAGCAACAGCCAGGGTGGAAGGGGGTCAGAGGAAACCCAGGCTTCACCCGCCCACAAGTGAGCAGGACAGCGGGGGGGTGGGGTGGGGGGGGCACCAGGCAGCCTTTCTTCTGCTAGTTGCTTCGACTCTGGGCCCAGACCACACGGAAGGGGAGACGGAGGGAAGCTGCGGTTGGAGGGTGTATGCAGCGAGTGTGATGAGAAGCTGCCCTCATCACAGTGCCTCCAAACCAGGAAGAGAAACTGAGCATGCAGAAAGGGCAGGCTGGGCTGCACAGGACCTCTGGTCCTGGGGGCTTGCTGAAGGGAGCGCCTGAAAAGTCGCCGGACACACTACTGCTCCCTTCTGAGCCTTAGTCTCCCCATGGAAAAATGGGATTCTCTATCAGGTCCTGCCAGTCTGCCCTGATTGGTGCAGTCTGTGACCAACAGGCGCGGCAGGCTGCATCATATCTGATAAAAGAGCATCCCCTCCACTGGCGGAGCACTCCTGATCCCCGGGGCCAGGGGCTCAGCCACCCAAAGCAGCCTCTCCCTGCTCACTTCTTCCTCAGCCATGCAGGGAGCACCAGCTCTTCCTTCACCAGCTCTTTATTTTTAGGTCTGAATTTGACTTTAATCATTACTTAGCGGATTCTATTTCCAGCCCGTGGATGAAAGGAGCCAGAGGGGAGGAGGGAGGAGGGAGGGAGGGAAGCAGTGCTCCCTGCCGGGGCGTAGGGGGTGGCCTGCTCCTCCACCCATCCTGTCCCCAACCAAGGGCAGGGAAACTGAGAAACACCCAAAGGGCTTGTCTGAGCCAGGTCTGCATCTTGGGGAGGACCCCACCCTGTGACCTCATCCCAGCCAGAGCTGTGGGACAGGAGGACAGTTGTAATGCCCACTTCTCTGCACCAAGACCAGGAGGAAGACACTCCACAGGCAAAAGTCTGGCAGCCAGAGTCCAAGATCATGTGCTTAAGGGACCTGGGTATTGAAATGGGCCACTTGGGGGAGGACCCCCTGCCTACATTAGTGCTGGGCCACCCTGGGGTCATCTGGGGCTATGGTTGCTCAGGCTCAGGAAATGCCAAGGTGAGACTGGTTCCTCCTACTGCCACAGATGGCCCCGGGAGAGCATTCCCAGTTATTCTGGTCTCCATGGAAGCAAGGTATGTCACAGCAGTACACACTCAGGTTAGAACTGGGACCACAGGTGGAGGAGGATGCTAACACACGAGTTTCCCCCATGACTCTGTGGACTGTCTATATTCCTTTTAAACTCCCAGCCGAGAAGCCCTGGAATCCCCCCACCTACCAGCTTTCTTCCCTTCCCTAGCTACTGGGAGAAGGTGGGAAGATGAGGCTGGCCCTGGGTGGGGCTCAGGATGCCTGGGTGCCCTGCCCAAGACTCAGGCTAAGTAGGCCTCTATTCCCTCGGGGGAAATGCTAGGCTGGGCTGGCCTAGCCAAAGCAGGGAGGCAGCCCAGCTCACTGAGAAGAGGCCTTGTCTACTCAGCTCTGATGCTGGGAGACCGGAAGGGGAATGGGTGGGGTCAGGCCCCGGACGCCAACCAGCAGTCCATCTTCCTAGGGCCAGCCCCATGCCCAGCCAATCATGTAGTGATAGGGAAAAGGGAAGGCAGGGAGGCAGGGCAGGGCACTGGCCCTAGGAGTTCAGAACCTCAGGGACAGAGGTTTTCAGAGAGGTACCCAGGGTGAGTGGTCAGCCAACCTCTGCCCACTGCTCAGGCCATCTTCCCACAGGAAGGGGTACCCTGCAGTGGGCACACCCAGCAATACTGACCCCAACACCGGGGTGAATAGAGGGGGCTGTACCAGGCACTCCATCCCTCAGTGGTCAGTTCACATTGCCCTGACAGTTTCCTCTGAAGCAGGCATCACCACTCTGCTATTTATACAAAGGAGACTCGAGGGTCAGTGACCTGTTCAAGGTGGCATAGGTTAGAGCCCGGAACCCACACCAATTGGGTGCCAAGTTGCCAGCTAACACCCCAGCTGCTTTCGGGGCCCATGGTAATACCAACCAGGACAGCGACAGAGGGGAAACAGTGCACATGACCAGGGAAAGGGTCTGGGTGAAGGACCGTGGCAAAGCTGCCTGGAATATTCTGTAGCTTTTTTGGAGGCAATATTACTTAGACCGTGCAGCACCGTGAGAAGATACCCAGGAACACAGCATGAAATAAAAAAGGTGTCACGGCATGCATACTCGAAAAACAGTGATGACGGAAAAAAAAAAAAAAAAAAAATCAGGAAAAGACTGGCAGGAACTCCAAAATACTCACACAGTCACTGCCTGGTGAAGAAATAGTGGGTGATTTTTGTTTCGTTTTCTAAATTTTCTGTAGTGCTGTTTTGTGACTTTCTAAATCAAGAACATGAGTACATACAGAGTTTCCTTAGAATGAGCACAGATTCGCTTTCCTGGGACCTACCTGCTCCCCAACTCTGGCCCAGGTGTCTGGGACATTTCTGCCTTGGGACAGTCTTTCCCACACGGCACAGTCCCTTGGACACGTGAGGACCTCTCCCTATTTCCTACTTCCCAGACTTAACACCTCTGTTTCTAGGGGACCACACAGCAAGGATTTAAAATCTCTTAAAAGATGGTACCCAGAGGGGGACCCTGGTGAGTCCAACCCCTTTTGGAGAAGCCTCGTCACTCTATGGGTCCTGGGCCTCAGCCCCTGCACTAGTTTGGGGGAAGCTGGACTCTGACCCCCTCCTGACCCTAGCCATGGGGTTCAGCCTCTCAGGAGTCCAGTGTCCCTGCAGTGATGAAAGGGAGCGTTTTCTGGTCTTTCCTTGCCCCTGACCCACTGCAGGGGGAGATGCAGCCACCTCTGAGAGGGAGGAAGGCACTGAACTCGCCAAATGAAAAGCACATCCCTGCACACGTGCTAGCCAGAAGCCAGACTCTTTTCTACAAAGGCCTGGAACCCTGGGCGGCACACTCACAGCTCACAGTTGGTAAGAAAGCGCCCTACCATGTCAGGCCTCAGCCCCTTGGGCTGGAAAGGAAGTTAAGGCTGGGTGTGGGGCCATGTGACGGGAGCCCCACAAGTCCAGGACATCTGGGTGTCCTTCACTGTGTATAACAGAATAACGGGAAAAGACCTAAATCAAGGCCAGAGCCCTGAGCAGAGGTTCCACGGGGGCCAGACATGGCCCAGCCCCCTCCCCAGCACTGCCCGCTCTCCTGGGTAAGAGGACCCTGCCATGCCCAACCTCATCCCTGCTGCCCTTGCCCTGTGCCTGTTGTGGCCACACCAAGAAGATACTGTGTTCCCCAGAGTACTGGGAGCTTGAAGTAGATCTCCTGGGTATCCCCACTCTGCCAATTCTCCCGGGCCAAGGGCTCCTACCTTGCTCACCCGGATCCCACTCATATTCTGAACTTAGCTGCTCCTGTGCCAGTTGGGCCAAAGATGCCAGTCGGGCCAAAGATGTGGGGAGGGCTGGGTCAGGAGTGACCACACACCACAGATGACCCCACTCCACACACTCACCACATCCCCGGCTCATGGACCCAGCCAGAGATGGGCCGGAAGCCCTTTCCTTCTCTCCAGCCCTCTGCAGGGGAGCACGTGCTCACCCCACAAGGTCTCTCCTGGCCAGGCTGGGGGCCCACGTCCCTGATGGCTGAAGGTGTCAGCTTGGTTTCCCTCTCTCCACTGCAGTCAGCTCTGCAGAGCTGGGGATGAAAGGACAGCTGGCCTAACTCCACCAGAGGCCTGAGGTAGTGACATCCCCCCTTGAGCCTCAGTTTCCTGGTCCACCAAATGAGTGGGGAAGTGAACCCCTAGTTAAGCTCCAAACATCTGGTGGCTGGACACACCCCTTCTGACACCTGGCCTGGTCCCTGAAGACCCTAGGAGAATGGGCTGACCAGGGGGCAAGGAGGTGAGGGCATAGTGCTCGTGCCCAGTGTTGCCTCCACCCAAGACTGCCCTGCCCAGTTTTCCACCCAAGGGTCAGAGGTCCCTTGGTTTTGGCCTGGTCTTCTGTGAGCCCGAGGGTGACAGGCTGTCCTGGGCTTCTAGCAGGGCTCAAGGGAGGTGGCTGGGCCCTGAGCTCGCCTGCAGCCACAAGGGCCTCCGTGGAGGAAATGTGGGAGGGGTCAGAAGCAAGCAGGCCAGGGCACCTGCAGGAAGGCCAGGGGCAGGCAAGGGCAAACTCCCAGGAGTCCCTCCCACTCTCCAGGCCCCTGGTCCATACTGATCCTCTTCCTCCAGCCTCCAGTCTCCCCCTGCTCTGAGCTTTACCCGGGGGGACGAGGGACAACCCCAGAAGGCTGGTCTGTGGGGCTGCAGGGGAGTGCCTCCCTCGTGCGCTCCCTCCCAGTCGGGGTCTGACAGCGGCTCCTGGGAAAATCCGAACCCGCGAAGCGAGAAAGGAGATGGGGGATGGGAGTGGGCGCGACGGCGAGAGCAAGCTGGACGTGCGACCTCCACTCCCTCCCTCCAGGGGCACTCGGACGCCCACCTCCCCCGGCGCTGCCAGGCACTCACCTCTCTCCGGGCGCTGCGGTCCGAGCCATCAGCGACCACCGGGACGATCCATGCGGTCGGGGGGG